TTGCCTCTTGTTCCGCCACAACAAAGTTACTCCTTGTTTGTCTTTTCAATTTACTGGAATAAAAGCTGTTTTTTTAAATATTCAGACTTTGCAGCAGCCTCTCTCTCTTTCTCCCCCTCTCCCTCCCTCCCTCTCTGTGACTTTCTCTTCTCTCTGACAGCAGACAAAATAAACAACTTAACAGGCGCTGAGCCGGCTGTGCATTGGATCGCTCTGTATTTTTGTTGTGATTCTGAGGTTTGGAAACGAATAAAAGCCAGGCTGATTTGGTCAAGACTTGAAATACTTTTACTCTACTCAATACTGTTTCCATAAGCCTGTTGAATAAACCGCTTTTTCCTCTGACATTTCAATTTCTCATATTCATTTACATACCAGCTCTGGAAGCTTTACAAGAAGAGTTTCACATTGTGGGAAATACTTAAACCTGCAATTACTGAGTTATTGGGCGACATGTGAACACCACATTGGTGTATATCATCACCTCTAAGGCTAAGTATGGCTAACTCATTAACAGTCGATATTCACACATCCAGCGGTCACAGAGCTACATTAATATTCTTGTATTCTTCACCAGTTGTGTTTCAGTCCATCTGATGCATGTAGGTCCAGTTTTCACTATTGTTTATTTCTGTTTTTTTAAAAGCTTATGTTGAGTGTTGGGTGACCTTTTATCGAAATGCACAGTTCATTTGAGTTGGGCTTTTATTCTGAAAGGTAACATCAGAAAGAGTGAAACTGTAAAAGGCTGCTGTTGACAATGTGGTAAATAAGGAGTTGTTGCTGTTTCTGTGTACACTCGTTCGACTATGAAGCCTCCATTATTTTATTTTGTACCCTAATATGCAAAATTGCGACTCTATGTTTTAGCTTGAAGTCAATGGCTCTTGTGCAAAGTATCCTGGTACATGTAGGGACTGACAGCATGGCTCCACGAGTGCAGGAACTCATCTTTCTTGGTCAATATACCTGTAGCTTTCACCACAAACAATGATTGGACATCATCATAAAAGCAATTGTTTTGTGAGAAATGCTAAGCTTAGCTAACTGGCTTCATTTTTATAGCATATCGCATTTCCCAAACTACTTCTTTAAATTGGTCGCTATAACGCTTTTTATTACACTATCGGTGATAGGCTTAGGGGCGAGACATCTCTCAGCGCCAATCACCACAGAGCCGGACAGCTAACCAATCAGAGCAGACTGGGCTCTGGTTTCAGACAGAGGGTGAAAAGAGGTGCTGCAGCAAAGGCCGTATGAGAACAATAAAGAGCTTTTTGAACATTAAAGCATGGGGACATGTAGAGACACTACATACTGATATACACCTGAACATCAGCAGGAGAGGACTCTTTAAAGTAGAGACACTACATACTGATATACACCTGAACATCAGCAGGAGAGGACTCTTTAAAGTAGAGACACTACATACTGATATACACCTGAACATCAGCAGGAGAGGGCCCCCATTTGTTAAGTACAATTAATTGATATCTAGGTGGTATCACACGGTATGTAAAAGGTGAATTCAAATGTGTATTTTATGGTCTGTTAGACATACGAAGGAATCCTCAGCCCTTCACTGAACATGTTTAATTACTCCCTTTTTTTCTGTAACTGTGACTAAATGGAAAATGTCACCTAAATTAGTGGTGTTTGTGTGTGTGTGTGTGTGTGTGTGTGTGTGTGTGTGTGTGTGTGTGTGTGTGTGTGTGTGTGTGTGTGTGTGTGTGTGTGTGTGTGTGTTACAGATCTTGGAGGTTCTTTCAGCCGCCTTCCATGAATGAATACATTACAGCCGGTGATGATGAGTCAAGTTGACAGTTACCATACATTTAAGAGCTAAAATACAATCGTGGCGGCTACAGTATGCTCTCCCATACATATTTTAAATCGTGTGCAGAGAGCGAGATACAAACATGTCAGAAAGTAAATCATCAAAACCACACACGCACACACTGACTGGTTAGGAGAACAGAGACTGTGGAGCAAACAGGCTATTCAGAGACTCACTAAAATACAAACATGGTGAACATCTCATGTCTATTCCATCATGTCCGTGAAGATTTTAAATTAAATGACAAAAACAATGTGTGTGTACTAAACACATGGCTTTATGAATGACAGTGTTGGTTATGGTCCAGACTAAAATATCTTTATAATAATTCAACATTCATGTTCCCCAGAGGATACACTCTGCTGGTAGTCAGCACCACCATGATGTTGACATTTCTTGTTTCTAGTAAAAACACATTTTCATGAAATTTGGAACAGATATCCATGGTCACCAGCAGATGAATTTAAATGAAATTGGAGATCACAACTTTCCCTGTAGCACCCCCCAGGAGGACATGTTTCTCACCATCTCCTGAATGGACAGATATAAATAGATAACATTCATGGTTCCAATGAGATGAAGCATCCTGACTTTTCCTCTATAGTGCACCCGTTGTGTTGGATTGAAATTCCTTTACCACTATCGGATGGTTTGCCGATGAATGTTGTAGACCGTCAGGAGGTAATAATCTTCTGCCTCAAAAATGTTATTTTGTTGAATGCTTTGATTTATGAACATCATGACTTTAAAGAAGACACATCATGTAGGAGTTGGTCTGTTCGAACTACTAAAACAATGTAAATGAATCAATGTGCTCCACACTAGTTTCTTTTCGGAATACCTGCACAACTTTTAAAATGTCCATCAGCTTGGGCTTTATGTTTAGTGCTAATTATCAAATTATCATTATATATATATATTATACTTGAACAAATCTGCACTTTCTGCTGTTTTGCACTTCTGGTTAGATGCTAACTACATTCATTGACTTAAAGGTCCCATGTCATGGCCATTTCTACTGATCATAATTCCTTTGTTGAGGTCTACTAGAATAGATTTATATTGTTCAATTTTCCAAACTCACATTGGTTTCTCATACAGCATCTCTGTATAGTATGTGTATTCACTCTCTGTCCTAAACCCCCCCCCCTGTGAGCCCATTGGCCATCTGCGAGACAGCGAGAGACAGCGAAACCCAGCCCGAAACACCCCCGCAGCCTGGCTGGGAGTTTGTGTGTGTGCCCAGACTGAGTTCCGCGGTGTGTGTGTGTGAGGAAGTCCGCGGATTGGTCCAAACGTAACGGCTCCGCGGACGTAACGCTACGTCACTATACCCGAAATACGTCACTATAACCAAGAAGTAAACAATGGAAGAAGAGAAATCTCCAACGAGGCGTTCTGGGGCAGCATAGACAGGTCTTTTCTGTGTTAGAGTTTTACTCGCTACAGGGTGTACTTTGAGGGTTTGAAAACCTTCATAACACACAAGGGGACGGGTAATAACCAGAAAAGCATGACATGGGACCTTTAAAGTGGATGTCTTCAGGTTTTGACTGATACTTGCACAAAACCAGACATTTGAACATGTGGAGGCTTTTGATATTTATTGTATCCTTAATAAAAATAAAGGTTAGTCCTACTCCCAAAACTAAGATCTTTAAATGTGTTCCTCTATTATAAATGCCAGGTTTTTAGTTTTTTTGAATATGCATAGTATTTACTGATCAGTGTTTTCATTAAATAACAATATATTGCAAGATGTTCATGTCATTTTGGCTAACTTCTATATTTATAGTAACACCCCCTGAGTAATTACAGCTGCTGACTTTGATCAGTAGTGTGGAAGATGTGTTTGGCTGACTGATTTCACGGAGACCCTGGGAGCCGGCATGAATAATAGCAGCATGACACGCAAAGCGAAAAAGACAGGATATCACTTCAGCGAACCATGATGCATCCCAACCAAACATAAACCAGACTTAATACCCTTGTGAAATATCACTGCTTTTTATGCAACCACTGTGCATGCTGATGGAGTAAATATTTAACAGCCTCCGGAAAAACATCACTCCTGAACATGTCAAAAGATTTGTGTTGATTTACATGAAGTAAACTCAACGCTGTAAGGTGCATCATTTTTATATCTCAGCAATTTAACATAATGTTTCGCTCCATTTCACAAGATGTTTCATTTATCATTAAGTTATTCAGTAACATCAGGAAGCTAACTGGCCGCACATACTGTCCAACCATGTAGACATGCTCATATTCTTACATTTAGAATACAGAATATCACCGGAAGATCAGGGGGGTACCATTTTTTACCAGAATGTTAATGTAGGCTGCAACCGTTTTGTTAGGAAATGAATGGCTTAGGCTTTATTTTAGAGTTTAGTCTCATCTCATTTTAAAAAAGGTAGCAGATTTAGAGTATGTAATCCCTCGCACAGTTTTAGTCATTCAGGAATCCTGAAGTCAAATGTAAAACCTTTTAAGACCTTTTTTAAGACCCTTTCCATACATTTTAAGACCTCATCGCCACTTCGAGTTTTAACCGGTTACCTTGGCGACACACTTTACCTCACATTGACTATATACAGTATTGATTGTCCTTCCTCCTTATCTTCCAACCATTTGGACGCAGACTTGCATTTCCCCATAACGATGTTGTTTAACAACCGGCGTAAACGGACCTTCGCGCGCTATCAAGCAGTGAGCGTGCGATGTCCTGTTCAGATGACGTCAAATCCAACAGGATGCCATAAATAAACGACACAGAATCACACTACACACCTACGCAATGATTACATTCAGACACACTGTAGAATACAACCTCTTTGGACAATTTATATACTTATTGAAAACAAGCTACAAAATGTAATACCTTGGAAAATGCCGTTTAATACTTTTTAATAGCCTTCATTTTCGCTGAATTGATTTATCAACTTTTAATACTTTTTAAGACCCCGCGGACACCCTGAGAACATAGAGGCTGAGATGTTGATGAGTCAAGACAAAATGCACACAGATAATCAACACCTGATACTGTTAACATCATGTGTTTGCATGGAGAAGAATAGCCAGGTATATCATGTACCCAAATCTGATCCATACTCAGGTTGTAGTGTGCATGTTAAGACACTGAATGGTACAAAATACCTACGTGTATCTATGGCAGAGTGATTCAATGCAGATCAGCACCCGAACATTATCCCTGGCCTTCAGCTGACTCTTGCTCCTCTTCACCTCGTTGTGGTCTGTAAGGAGAGAAACATGTTCACAATCACATGGAGATAATGTCTCAAGCATTGCTCACAAACAAATATATCCCATTTAAGAGGCCGCAACTGAAACCCTACAGCTGAACAGTCCAATCTCAGTAACTTGACACAACAGGCCTGTCAAACGTTGCTTTTCTCTGTGTCCTGATCTGTATATTTATATTTTTCCCTTTTTCCAAATCCAATAAAGTAAACGTATAAGGCGTGGATTAAAATGTGATAGTTTACTCAAATTTAAGCCGCAGTTGTATATACAGTACAGCTAACTAGCGTCTTCGCTGTAGTAAATGTTTGGACATCATAACGTTTGCCTCCTTGAATGGTCCTCTTCTTTCAATAAAAGCTAATATTTTCTTCATTGTTCCTCATCATACTTTTAAAATAGGAATAACTCGCTTTACACGCAAAACAAGAACAATGCATTTCTTTATTTACATTTCTACTAAAAGTTCAATTGGTGAAGATGTTTAACTTTTTGCATGGGACATGTTGCTTTAACCCCAGTTGTTATGCATGTTTCATGTATGTATTTAAGATCCTTTTAAAGGGTTGTCATTTTAAACCTGGTCAGATGGAAATGTTAAAAAGTCAGACATAGACAGCGTAAAAACACTGTTTGCCTATGATGCACAAATTACGCCAATTAAGGACTGTTTCTTTACATGTTTAGTCTCTTATTTCCTTTGTATATGTCCTGTAATACTCCACATAAGACAGTGACTGTGACTTACCAATGTGGACGTTAGCAGAGAACTGGTAGATCCCAGTGATGGGAGCCGTGAATCTCCCGGTGGACTGGTCCATCCCCAACCCTCTGAGGAACGCTCCTTTAGCCGGAGGCTGAAAGCACAGAGACATGAAGTTAATACGTTTACATTTCAGAGTGTTAATTCATTCATTCTCTGAGAGCTAATATGCCGGCCTGGTTCACTTTGTCAGCTACAGTTTACCAAGTAAGCTTCAACTATTTCCTCGTTTACCCTGAATCAGAATCAGGTTTATTACCAGGTAAGTTTACACGTACGAGGAATTTGACTTGATGTCATGGTGCATACATAAAAACGTCATTAAAAAATATTAAGAAATAATACAAAATAAAGCAGTATTTACATAGAAATAGAATGGAATAAAATATTAAATATTAAAAAATTGGCAGTAATAAAAAAAGAAAACAGATATTCTGTACATTGTGTGCATTAAAGGTGGGGTAGGTAAGTTTCAGAAACCAACTCGAGTGCACTAAAATGTGAAAGTACGCAGCCAAAAAGAATCCGCCCCTTCGTTCAGACTTCCTTACAGAGCACCTCCTCCGCGAGAGCAGGCTGCAGTAACGTTACATATCAGGCAAAGCTAAACACATCTAGGTTAGCAATACTACACAGCCAAAGCAACTCCGATATTGACTTCTCATAGTTTCCACTTTCTTTTTGTTCTTAATTTTCTCCGTTACATTTTTTTTTGTTGCAACCAGTAGACGATGTTGAACCTAACTCTGCCATGGTGAAAGTGGCCGCCTGTTGCTGGCGAGTCATTGAAGTACTGCTGCAATGCACGCCCAATGACGGCACGCCCAATGAGGGCACGAGATACATTTGTGCGTGCACGAGATGGAAGGGTCGGCTAAACGGATTGGCTATAGTTTTTACAGTATTACGGGTTCCACAGATGACATTTTTTTATGGATTTTTTGTCAAAGCACTTCAGATATTCATTGCTATTGGGATGTTAAGAGCATTCCATGGAATATAACAAAAGTGTATCTCGAGCCGGTTTCTGAAACTTACCTACCCCACCTTTAAGTGTAATTTGGCTTGGTTTCTATTTGTATGGACATGCTTTATTTGAAGGAGAGTTAGCGCAGTTGACAGGAATAGAAACCAAGCCAAATTACACTTAAAGGTGGGGTAGGTAAGTTTCAGAANTTTCAGTAGAAGCTGCTGGGAGAAGCCTTCCGAGTAAATCGCCAGAACGCCGACACCTCCTCATCTCCAACGCTCCCATGTTTTCTTTTGCATTGCCATAAGTTAGTCTCTCTCTGTTGGTGCGCGGGGCTAATGCTAATGCTAATAATGCGACAGCAAATAAAATGGCGGCTTCACAAAACTTTTCAGAGTGTTACGGGGCATGGTTTGCAATTCGCCCAGCCAATCAGAAATTGGAACCTTTTTCTCCCAGGAAAGTCCCTGCTCTCTAGCAGGGACTGAAAAGGGGGGGAAAAGTTCTCATGAACTATCGGAACTAAAAGGGAAAAGTACTCCGGTGTGAAAGCTCCTATTGAGAGCAGACTGGGCTCTGGTTTCAGACAGAGGGTGAAAAGAGGTGCTGCAGCACAGGAAGTATGAGAAAAATAAAGAGCATTATGAACATTAAAGCATGGAGACATGTCCCAGTAGAGACACTAAATACTAATGTGAACCTGAGAAAGAGCGGTATATGTCCTCTTTAAGTCCTTAATCAAAAAGTAAAAGTGTGCTTACATCTGATGAATAATTGTCAAGAATCTATTGCTTTCATAAACACTAATTTGTGTATACTAATGTAGACAATTTGGATTAACTCATACAGTAAGTACAAATGCTAAATTATAGTAATAAATACATGTTATTGATTTAAAGGCCTCATATTTAATAACTTCATTAAAAATGAAGGAGAAGGTAAAAAGAAAAGCGAGAGGCAGAGAAGAAATAATGGCAGGGCGTGATCTGTTGGGGTTTGGATGCATTTCAGGCCAGCTTTGCAGGATGGGTTTGGTTCAGTATTATTAATTCTTCCTGCTCATACACACACACTGTTCTCTGACTGTAAAACATTGAATGCAAGGCTTTTCCTTGTGATGGAGTATCTCTACATTGTTGTGTTAGTGCTTATACTCAGACCCTGGACACAATGCGCCCCATTCTTAAGATCTGAAGCCTCAGTAATGTGTCATGATTTAAATCTCCGTCAACGAAGATAAACACTGTCTCGAAGACTTACAGTTTCTCACCTTCAGACAGAACGCCCCGACACATTCCCTCCGTCCGTGCTGGAGAGGCGTGCGCTCACACCTGCTGACAGACGAGGCCACTTTGAGGCACTCGTACATCAGCGCTGATCAAAGCCAGAGCCCTGGTGTTCTTCATCAGCTCTCAGACTGATACCTGGGTCTGATTCCCTCCCCACTTTGTTCACCATTTGTACGTGCTGATACAGAGCTCTGGGAGGGAATCCGACGTTTACTGTATACGCCACGGTCAATAGCAGCCAGTGAGAGATTGAACGCTCCTGACAGGTTTTTTCTGTGTCATCAAGCAATATGGTTTTCATGTGTGCAGTCTTTGATGTTTTCAGTCGAGACGGAGACTCACCTGCATACAATGAATCCGATTTTCTTTTTGGCATGTTGTGTGAGCCATCCCAGCTGTCACTAAGTAGCGTATGTTACACTCTGACAGTGCTTAAAACAGAAAATGGAAAAAGCTGAGCATTCCTTAAGCTGATGATTGGATTATTTATACAATGTTTTGCTGTTATTTTTCAGCTCAGAAATGAAGGTAATAATTACCTTGCTCATAGCCTGTCTTCCCTGAGCACAGAAAATCCTTGAGGGCAATGTTTTAATGGTTTAATTACAATGGCGTGTTTTAAAGAGGATAACAAGCCCAGAGCATGGCTGATTTCCTGGAAATGATATGCTGTTTTATTATTATGTAGGGTATGGCTAAGATGTATAATTATCAGTCACATGTGTGGGCCAACATGTTTCATATCTCTGGAACAGCAACACGATGATCTATGACACTGATATAACAAAATATACGTGGAGCTTTTTGAAAGAATCAGCGCCCACTGGCTCTCATAATTAGGTGGGTGTCTTCACAGTTTTACAATCAATCCCAGTGGAAATGTACTCCAACTGCCACAGGCGGGGAATACTACAGTAGTACGACTCCAGCACCACCGCAACCCCCTGCCATCACTCGTCAACACGTTAATATTTGTTCAAGCTTACAAGTCTGGTATGTTAAAGGGGCCCTATTCTGCTCATTTTCAGGTTCATGTTTGTATGTTGTGTTTCTACTGTGACATGTTTACATGATTTCAGAAAGCTCTTTATTTTTCTCATACTGCCTTTGCTGCAGCACCTCTTTTCACCCTCTGTCTGAAACCAGAGCCCAGTCTGCTCTGATTGGTTAGCTGTCCGGCTCTGTGGTGATTGGCGCTGAGAGATGTCTCGCCCCTAAGCCTATCACCGATAGTGTAATAAAAAGCGTTATAGCGACCAA